ACGTTCTCTATACAAATACATACAAGGGCAAAGACATAGTAACCGCGTAATTCGGCGTATCCACAATCTCAACGGTTTTGAGATTTCCCGCCACACTCGCACGCATCCAAGCCTCTTCCCGATTCAACCTCTTAGCTCCGACCGATCACGCGATAAGATTTCTCGTAGTTTTCCTTGCCGCCTCACGAAGGTCCGGATCAATTCCCATAGCTGCATACTCCCCCTCTCGCTTGTAACCCTGCCACACTCCCCCAGATCCTAACATCACATATTCTCCGGGGCTCTTTGTAACGCTTTCCCCTAACTATTCTATTTCCCGATGACTCCTGTAGGACATAATAGCACACCCAACACGAAAAGGTCAAGATAGCCAATGCGAAAGGAACTAGTCAAGCACACAAGAATGAACATAACTCCTAGAACTTCTGTGTGCAAGCCTGGTAGTAGGATTGCCCACCTTTCCATAACACAGCATGTTTTCCGATTTGTTGTAGCTTTAGGCAACGAAACGACCGTTGGAAAAAATCGAAAGGTCCCCACACAACAATTCAGATAGAATCTGTGATTCACTTGAGATTCCCGGTGCCCAACTGCTGTGCGGCGCATATTTATCTCTTAATTAAACTTTTGGCTATTTTCCATAACCTTAGGAGGTGGGGATTTAAGAGGCCAGACCACCCCATATCCATAGACTTCTCCCCTGGGCCAAACTCTCATTGTGTCCCTTTTCTATGGTTTTTCTATCGACTGGATGTAGCGTTCATTCCAGCTTTAGTGGTCAGTCAGTGAGGAAGTACGACGGCGGTGACCACTCATTGGCCATTTTCGTTCTCATTTTCTGTTTTGCGGTTCTTGTCCGCTCGTGTCTCGTTTTAAAGAGGGGTGGGCAAGGGGGGCCGGCGGGCACGTTGAACGTTTTCTCGTTATGGAAGGTTCATGAACCAGTGTGCTTAACACGTATCCTTGAGTGTGTTTTCAGAGGAAACTCAACGGAGACGGATCGCTGGTTAGTGATGCATGTCACACATTCCGGTTACCGCACACCCGTCTGGCAGGAAGTCGGTCAATAACTATAGGTCAAAGTATAGCGAGCCATGGATGTTATCTGGTGTTAGGTGGTTCTCATTTGAAAGATTGTAAGGGGGGTCTCCTGGAAGAAAAAAAGGAAAACTAAAGCAGGGCTCCGGGGCAGAAATTGTTTCCTGGTTGGCTATCCAATGGCCGAAGATTTTCTTGCTTTTCAGAAAAAACTAAAAGAAATATCTATAAGAATTAGCTCCCGGTACTTTTCCGGCCGTCAAAGCATTAAGTCATGATTGAATGGGATGAGCAACAAAATTACAATGGACACTTGAGAGGAAACGGGGTATGTAGTGAAAGAGATCAGAGAGAGAAAAATAAAGGAAAAAGATGTCATTTTGAAAGCATAATGATCAACGGGGATGTCAGATACATACGGATGCCTGTCTCTTCCCCTTCGTTTTGTCAATTCTCTTAAAAATCCCGGAAAAGCGGACGATATTATCCACTGGACCGACGCAAGTTTCTTCAAAGAAACCGGGTGTAAAAAAAATTTAAAAATCAATGATTGCTGCCTCCCTGATTCAGAGAACGAAAAGATGAATCAAGTTGTTGAACTATCATCCTTCTCTAATAGTCGTAATAATCATCATTGCCACATCATCACTTTATTGCAATCATCGCCATCGCAGGGGAGCAGTTAGACGTCATTTATAAATCTTCAAAATAAAAGACGAATCTGCAAAATGAAGGAGAAGTTGTTGCAAATATAAGTCACCCAGAAATTGGCTCTAAGACGGCAATTTCTGCCCTGGTCTCTTTTTGCCCCTGTGCCACCGGCTGTGGGTTGAATTGAATGGTCGGAGTTATCCACCGGGAGGCATTTCTGACACTTCCAGGTCTCGTACCCAATCATTTCATACTGATCATTACAAGCGTATGACGAATGGAGCCCCGTGCAGGCAATTTTATGCGTTATCGTCTTGGTCAAAGTTTGTTCTGAGTGTTGATTATGTCCTGCATGTCTTATGTTTGCTAAAACTATATCTATTGGAAGCATGGGTTAAGGAATAGAATAGATTCGGGAATGTATCCTGTATACATCCTGCCACAGAACCTAAAATTGGGTTTTGGGAACGGTGAATGCTAGGCGGAGATGATATAGAAAGGTAGTTTGAGTTGGAATTCTCAGGCTAACGTGTTGGGGTCGTTGATGAGACGGAAAGGCTTTGGGAGAAGAGAATGGGCGCCAAATGCGCGGTGTATGTTTCTTCCTAGACATGCGTGTAATCGCATTGGAAGTATTCAAAACAACGTATAAGCATTACGTATAATACCGATGATGGGGGTTGGCTAGAGGGAAGGGGGACTTAGAATCACCCTTTTCGCAGCCAGCAGTCGATCAGTTCAACCGTCATGGGGAATCTTTTTGCAAAACCACATGGGTGCCATTGCGACGTCCGCACACGTTGTGACCAATAAGGGATGGGAAAACCAGTTCCTGCACTGGTTTTCATTCTTCAGGCTCACCAAACAACCGACGGCAAATCCATAGTTTCACGTTGAAGAAGTATCCAAGGTCAAAGAACACAAAGAAGGTTGATCCGATATACCCTCCAGTCTGATTCTCTAGTCACCCAGGAAGCGTTCGGGTAAAATTGGCAAGGTCAAGGCTGGTTGGAAGGCTTGGCCGTAACAGAATTTTCAGTTAGTCGAGTCCTAATTGTTTGGACCAGTATCCTGAGGGACACTCTGATGCGTGGATGCATGCGAGCAAGCCCATGGAGTGAATGTTACCCTGGCATTATTACGCGTGTCCAAAAAGAAAAAAAGAAAAAAACGGGAAGTCACAGTGAAAGGACAGCCTGTCAATGGTCGGGCCACCTTGCACAAAGATAGGAGGCTTGCATAAAATGCTCTTAGTCGGTGGTATGTCCATTTTTAAAAACAGAAATGGCAAAAACCAAGGTGTCTTGAGAGAATTTTCATTCGCAAATAGCATCCCACTGTACACTATTGGCCATCGTATCGTAACACCATAATGATATGGCCTCGAGGTCACTTGGTTTCTCCTCTTGCACTAGGAAATGACAGCCTGTGCAACAAACTTAGGGGTGTTATTGAATCATGGATGGTTGGAATGATTGTACCTGACGCTCAGGATTGATGGGGACATTCTCTCATTTCATGAAAATCTGGCTTGAAGATCATGGAGATGGAGAATGCTTTAATCAGAGAAGGCATCTGGAAAACTTATATATGGATTGGCTTTATTCAAGTATGCAAATTTTGGGAACCCCTGATTTATTGGCGAGCTTCTACACAGATTGAGACAGATGCTGCTAGGAAGAAGAGCACTGTACCGTAAGCTGTTACAAAGGAGTCAGCATCAGGATTGTTTCGAACTCCATAGGGAAATCATCCGAGCATACATCATGCATGAAAAGATCAAAGGATGGTAATATACCTGCCTGGAAGTGAACTCTTAAGTCACATTGGGTGAAGATTCATATTTGATATGGTGCTTCACGGGATCGCCTACAAAATTAGGAGAATCGAATTTTTGCAGAGGGAATTTTTCATTTCCTAATGAGGTTTCGGGATATGGGAGACCGTCCCATATGCTAAACCCGAAGCATCGTTTGGAATTCTGATCCAAGCTGGATACAGGAAAAACATTCATTGTAACCACCAATCAACAGGAATAAAAGTTTAGCAGCAGTTAAGAATGTGTTAGATTGGCTTCCAATCAATCAACTTGAGTGAGATGGTAAGATAGCAAAAGCCACTCCAAGTCGCGGGGTAAACGTGGGACGGGCCTCACAGTGGAGGGTTCTGACGGACGTGAACGATGAGGTATCCAATTGAAAGAGGCGGACTCAAATGGATGAGACTCGAGTTGAGACGTTCATATCCTACAGAAGAAGCCCATCAGGATGTGCTTCAACCTTTTGAATACTCACAGCTAAGATAATTTCCAAAAGGAGTAGGTAAACGACTACCAACACGGTTTCGTAAAATATTCTGGCTTGTGTTGTTAGTTTTTGGTTCAATGCCAAGCGCACAAAAAGGCTAAAGTAAAAGTTTCCAATTGCTGCATCCACTCCTTTAATCCATCCTGAATGTGGTAGATTGCTGACGAACTAAATAGCCAAGTGTGCGAGTTGCCGCGACTAAAGTTTCGTTTATGCATGACGGGTGTATATCAATGATGTGTGGGCAAAATGGTGATTAATTCCGACCAATATTAATATTGATGTGGTAACTACAACACGGGGGGAAAAAGAGGAAGTTGAAAATCCCAAGCCGGCCATATCAAAGCTTGCCTTGACGAAAATTAAGCCAGTTTTTCAATTGGCTAACCCAGAATGAAACTGGTGGCAAGGTCCTGCCACTAGGATTGCTCTGATTTATGATAGTTAATATCGATTAAGACACTTTTTTGAATCTCGTTGATCTGGGCACCCGAAAGAATGATAATGGGATCCTGTGCCCTCTTTTCCGTGCCTCTTCCTAACCAGATGGCTTGCGGCTGCAAAACGAGATATTAGTGAAATAGTTGGTATGAACATCAAAACAACCAACCTTGTGGAGAGAAGAATAATAAGAAATACATTAAATACTTTGGGACTTGTAGCACTGTTGACGCCGTCCACCCGATTGTTCTCCGCATTTTTCAGAAACCTGCTTACGCCCCGGAACTAGCTCCGTTGAAAAAAGATCTGTGACTTGTTGGGCCGTCTTGATGCAACCAGGAATGCCCTCTAAGCGGGCAGTATGAGGTACTCTTATTATTAATAAACTAGACACACTGCCTTCTGAGGTTTTTATGAAACCTTCTTATGAATTTCTCAGATCGATGATAGCTTATCCTGTATTAACCCCGGCGACCATCTCGATCTTCAATCTGTCATTCGCTGAACCCGGCACTTAGATGCGTCCTGGGACACCTCCGTTGAATCTGCACGTGTCTGGTAAGAATGGATCTAGGTCCCGGAGAAACCATGATCTCCTTTGCTTGCTCTAGTGGCCCAACCCAGCAGGCCAGTTCCCCGGGGAGTCCCCTCCGCAAGTGCGTTTGGCTGCATGGTGATTTTGATAGGATGTCCCCGGTACATTTCTTGCCTTCCGTTTGATGTGTATTGTATTTTTTTATATATATTTTCTTTCCTTTCCCCATATAAGAACAAGGTTATGTCATATCCGTGGTGTAAATTGCCCCAGAAAGCTACAAGTGATAGCGACCTCCTGCGGCCTTTTCAACCCCCTCATCCCCATAAGGCCCCCGTTAAGGGTCGTAACGGTCCCGTGTGGCTGGAGTATACACAGACCAATGCACAACCATGCATGGCTTTGCAAGGTGCATACAAGCCGGTGGCGGACATAATTCTCGCAAACGCCACGGCTACGAATTGAAGCCATAGGACGCAAGACAAATACATTTCGAGCATAAGGGACTATTGCCAACCCAACTTTGAAGGTCAAGGAGAGAATAGAAATGCCTTTAAAATTCGGTGGGAAGAATTGTGGCTATCACAGGCTTCGTAGCACTGTAGCAGGCAGGAGGTGTGATCCATGAACCCCAACATACTTAGTCCAGCAGGGGATACTTAGGTACGCAGCGGAGCTGGGAACTGCGTCCGTGGCCTGTGAGTACTGAGGATTGCAGACTGACAGGGAAGAGGGAACAAGAAATGGAATCATTATCAGTGACTATCTGTTGAGGAACGTTGTTTAGTTCAGTGGGTGATGAAGGGGAAAAGCCATGTATATAGGAACCAGCCTAGGCCCAATCGGTGCTTAGAGGTAGGTATTGGTGGAAAGGGTACCTGCAGGCTGCGGTATTATAACGGATATCATTCCTCCTCCAGTATATAATTATAAAATATGGAGCATTGCGGGCAAATTTTTTGGAGTCAGACGTATATCTAAGAGTTTGAATGATTGAGAGATAGATCCTAGGTAAACCTTTTTTTGTTAAGTGTCCAAACATTCTTTTTGAACCTACTCGAGAAGTTTATGTAGTTAAGGATAGTTATGTTTTTAACTAGTTATGTCATCCATACGTCATCCGTATGTGTAATCCTAATACCAAATACCAAAGCACTGTTCTTCTCAACAGGTAAACCAACGGCTTGTTAAACATCACACAACAAATGACTTTTCTTTCTTGTCCTTTTTTTATTTCCCCTTTTTATCTCCATTTTACTTTTTTGCCTGAAGGGGAATCGTGGATCCTAACAAGGTAGAAACAAAAAAAAAAAAAAAAAAAAAAAAAGCAAAAGAGCAGAAAAGAAGAAAAAAAGAACCTCTTTCCCAGCCTCCTGTCCAGCGTCTCCGACACCCTCGACACGGTGCCAACGTCTTGCTACTCTCTCTCGGCTGTCCAGCCTATCCCTGTTCAGTCTGCCTAACCTCCTCCAATAACATCGCTCCACAGCCCTTTTCGCCGTCGTGCAGCCCTCTAAAATCTCATACTCCTAAAGACCTCCCAAAGCAAACGCCAACCCATTCACCACCACAGAATCCCTCACCTTACACCCCCCCCCTCCTTCTCTCTCTCTCTTCTATCCGACGCGCTTGGGCAAGTGAAGTCCGTTGACATTGCTGCGGTTCCAGTCGACAGACTTCGATATACCTGCTTCTCGTCCTCTTTTCTTCCCTCTCATATAAACCATGAGTGCGTGTGTCTCAAACTTCTCTTGTTCCGTCCTCCCCTTTGCGTAACTGGCTCAAATGCCCTTCTCGTTTCGCGTCTCCTTCGGACAGTCTGTTATGCAACAATTTCCCTTGACTTGCCCTGCTTCCCGATTCAGTTGCCTCGTCATGGCTGTGGCTGCGGGAGCCTGAGCTTTCAATTTATTTTTCAAAAACACAAGAAAGAAAGAAAAATTAATTAATAATTTTCAATTCCTTCCCCCTCCACCCCCCCAACCCCTCCTCCGCATATTCATTCTGTTTTTCGACGGGATACTTATATTTACCGTTATTATACCCATTATTACATTCTTTGACCTGTATTTCTCTGGGCAACAAGAAACAGCAGCCAACCTATTTCTGTCCCTGTATACGGAGTAATCAGGCCCTCTTCCTTGCCGGGAACTTCTGCTCGAACACCCCACACTCTCTCCCCAGCCCTCCCATTCCCCTCCATCATTGCTCCGGCCCCCCCTTGATGCTTGGTGCCTCCAGAGAAGTCTCTTGTCGCCTCAGTGTTGAAACAAAACCTACACCCCTGGTCTTGGCTACACTGTCTGTTACTCCAGCTGCTTCTGGCTGCTGCACCTTGACTTCCACTACAGACTGTTCAGCAGCAACTCCATCACGCCTACTGCAACACGAAATTCTTTTCTTTTCCCCTTCACTCTCTGGTTTTTCTTCTCTTCTCGTTCTTCTTCACTATTCTTATCCCATTCACTATTAGTAGCACCTCTCTTCTTTCTCCTCCTTATTTCTTTCTTGCGCATCTGTTTTATCTCGTACATTGAAACTAGAAGACTCTGACTCACGAATAATTATCCCGTTCCTAGGTGCAGCCGACGTATATCGACCGACCCAAGTAAGTCTATCCGTGCGATCTCTGCTTGAGAAAGTTTTCCTTACCTCTTATCTGAACCACTATCCTCCCTACCTGCAAAAGTCCCCTTTCCATCAACCGACGATCCATGTGGCAAACGGGATAGTTGCAATGGCATTGGACATTGGAAGTAAGAGACCGTACCTAGATACATATGCAGCAGCAAAAAACAGGACGCACAATGCTGCTGCGTTGGGAGTGGGGAGATGAATTATGGCATTTGGCGGCCAGAGGGTTTTCCCAAACGGGGTAGTCCGTCAACTTGCCCAGGTGCAGAGCCTCATCCCGCCCTTTTTTATTATTTTTTTTTTATTTTTATTTATATTTTTTCCTCCATTCTCCCTGCTCCCATCGTTTGCGCATCGTTTATATCGTCTTGTATTGTGTCTTCTCCCGTCTCAATTGCCAAGGATCTCTCTTTTCCCGTCTGTTGTGGTGTTTTTTTTTTTTTTTTTTTTTTTTTTTTTTGCCCTTTATTTATCCCTCTCCGCCTTGACGACCGCGGTATGCTGTCGCCGGTATCTTGGTAACTTTATTGCTCACGTGGTTGCCACAAACAGCCAATTTCAAAGTTCACGTCAACTTCAGCGTTTTCACCTTCTTCTCACCCCATCCAACCTCTAATTTTCTCCCTCTCTCTTTGTAGCATTCTAGCCAGTGTGTGCGCTCTTAGCCGCTCCACTCGCTATTACCTGTGCTTCACCTCCTCAATAGGCTCTGATCGCCTGTGTGATGGCTAACTACTTACAGCGCGAGAGGTCCCGTTCTCCACGTCGTCGTTCCCGTAGTCCCCGTCGCGGCCGTCGTTCCTATTCACCTCGCAGTCGTTCACGCAGTCGTGACGACTATCGTCGCAACGATCGTCGATCCAGATCTCCTGTGAGTGGCGCAGCTGGCGCTCCTGGCGGACATTCAGCCTCTGGTTACGGTGGACGTAACCCTTCTACTCGTTCTTACGAGGACCGTTCATTCGCCAAAGAGCAAATGATGCAAGCAGTTCGCGAATCTTCCCAACAGGACCGTCGGGTCTATGTTGGGAATTTGTCCTATGATGTCAAGTGGCATCACCTTAAAGATTTTATGAGACAGGGTAAGCCCTCTCCATCGCGTAAAAGCCAAAATATATACCTCCAAACCCGGGAATAAAAGAATCAAAACTAACTGTGTCGGTGTGATTCGTGATGTTTTAGCTGGAGAGGTCCTCTTTGCCGATGTCTTACTACTTCCCAATGGAATGTCGAAGGTGGGCGTCAACGTGTAGCTGCGGCTGGTTTCCTGGTTTTCTTTATGGTTATTTTGATGGACGTTGGATTGACGGGTAGGGGTTCGGTCATTCGGATAATGTAGGGCTGCGGGTAAGCGACCACCATTTATCTTAGAGAAATGTCTCGTTATTACGGTTCTCGTGTTGGAAGTTGGTCTAACCTAGCTTGGCGATTAGGATTGTGGAATACGCAACAAGGGAGCAAGCTCAAAACGCTGTAGCGACTCTCAGTAACCAAAACCTCATGGGTAGACTTGTTTACGTTCGTGAGGTAGGGACCATTTTATACCATATTTACCCAAGAAACTCCTTACATCACTTTTTCAAGAACTGACAATGTATCCTCGCTTTCTAACATCCATAGGACCGTGAGGCAGAACCTCGTTTTACTGGTGCTCCTGCCCGTGGTGATTTCGGTGGTCCAGGACGCGGAGGCTATGGCGGAGGCTATGGCTCTGGCTCCGGCGCTGGTGGCAGTCGACAAATCTATGTCTCCAACGTTTGTTACCCATCTAACGCATTTTTTCATCCCCGCCCCCAATCTTTACTGCGCCTCCCACTTTACATCCTCTTAATCACATCCACATCAACCATCCAAATTCTCACACACCACACACCCCGATTCGTTGAACATTGGACAATTAACTTAAGCAACTTCTTTCCGTTTCTTTAGCTTCCTTTCAGCGTAGGCTGGCAAGACCTGAAGGACCTGTTCCGTCAAGCTGGTAAGTCTCGGTCTATTTAAAACTCCCCTATTGCAATTTTCGTCCATGATATTTGTTTGTATTAGGGGAGAGTTCTTTTGTATTGATAAATTACACACATTGGCAGCCCAGCAAGGTGCTGTTGTCCGCGCCGACGTGCACGTTGATCCCAGCGGCCGCCCGAAAGGTTCTGGAATTGTAGCATTCGAGAGCGCAGACGATGCGCGAAATGCTATTCAACAGTTCAATGGGTATGACTGGCAGGGTCGAACTCTTGAAGTCCGCGAGGACCTTTTGCGGGATTGGGCCCAGGGTTTGCTGGACGTGGTGGTTTTGGCGGTGTTGGTGGCCGTGGTGGATATGTAGGCGGTCGTGGTAGCTTTGGTGGTGGTCGCGGAGGTGGTTTTGGGGGCGGTTTCGGCGGACGCGGGGGCGGATTTGGAGGAAGCTATGGTGGTGGCCCGGGGTGGTGGGGCAGGGGACGGTAGTGCATCAGTTCCTCCAAATCCATTCACGGATTTCGCAACCTCTGGTGGAGAGAGGAGTGCCATCATATTTGTCCGCAACGTAAGTCTTCAACCATACCGTTCTAGAGATTTGTCGTTTGTTTTGTGTGCTAACAGTGGAACTCTAATGGCAACAGCTCCCTTGGTCGACATGCAATGAGGATCTGGTCGATCTCTTTTCGACAATTGGTAAAGTTGAGCGCGCTGAGATCCAGTATGAGCCCAACGGTCGCTCTAGGGGTACTGGGGTTGTTGAGTTCGATTCAGTTGAAAATGCCGAGACTGCTATAAGTAAGCTTTACCTTGCTCACCACTCAATTTCACTGCTCATTTCCCTATAATGAGCACGTACACTACGAACACTTTATATCAAATCGG